ATTTTCTAATTCAAATAGTTGTTGATCTTCAATAAGCATCCTTTGTAATTTGTCTTGTTCAACAGTCAACAAATGTTTTTGTTGTCTGAGATTTCGAACTTGTTCTTGAAATTGTTGGATTTCTTTTGTACGTTGTGCGAGATCAAGAGTTAGTTTTTCTAAATCAGCTATTTTTTTTTCATGTTCAGTACGATATTCTTCACATTGTTTATTCAATGATTCGCGTTCTATTTCAGCTTTCTTGATTTGTTCTTTTAGATCATTAATTTCCATTCTAGACTTATATGAATCAAGATCATCAAGTCTTTCTAATTCACTTTGTTCTTCATCGTATTTTTTAAGCTCTTCTCGAGCAATGATTTCTTCATCTTCATTAAGTTTCATTAAATGTAATTCTCGTAAATGAGGAATATTTTGTTTCTGTAAACGTTGTTGTTCGTCATCAACAGTAACACATATTGCCATTTATGGAGAGTATATATTCTTACATAAAAGTTATCTAAAAGATTTTTGTTCAATCATCGACTCCCATAGACGGATAGTTCATTGACTCTACCACTAAATTATGAATAAATGGTGAGATTTGATATAGCTTTTTTTTCCTTGACAAACAACGTAGAATTATGTATTTTGGATATCTATTTACTGTTAGAATAACGGCAAATCTCTACGGCAATCGATCAATTTTACAAAATTTTCTGCAAGAGTAAAATTACTATCGCTCTAATTTACACTATGATAATCTGTATTTTCTTCTAGAAACGCATCAAAATCAAATAAATGAGTATTGACGTCTTGAATGATGAATTCAGGCGAAAATATTCACATTAGCATCTAGAAGTTATCAGAAAAAATATGATCGCACACACACACACAAACACTGGGTGGTTGTGGTGATTTTGATGTTTGTTTCGGCTGTTTGATAATGAAATAAGAGGAGTATAAACACATTGTCTTATTTTACATTAAACTATCACTATCTGAAGAGAAATAGATAAAAGAAACAATAAAAAAAAAATATATAAGACTTTTAACGCTGGTGTACATGAGTTGTCTTATCATTTTATTATCTCACGTGTCTGCGAATAATAGAAGCATTAAAATTTCATCAAAAAGACAATAGATTCTATATGATTTTCTAATGTAATTAAAATCAATATACTCGATAAGTTACCAATACAGTGAATGTGTTCGTCTCTTAGTTCTTCTTCGAAGTTGTGCATTCAAAAATCAAGTAATTATTCCTAGAATAGAACAAAATGTTTTTAGGTCAACGTGGAAAAGAAAAACAGCGTTTCGTGTGCTGGATTTTATGTCTAGAAGAAACGAAAGAAAAATCTTTTATCGTAATTTTGTTTCATTTTGCTTATCGATGCAGCGATAATGAATCATTACAATGGATAAAGCCTATGAATCACATTTATTCTTGAATGAAAATACGTCAGAACCTGTACTGGCTACCAACACATATCTGATAAATACTCTATGTATTAATACTCACGTCAGTTCTATTCTACAGGCACTCTTTAAAATTTTCCGTAGCTAATTATTACGAATTTCGTAAGTGTCATCTTTTTACTCACCATATCAGCCGTCATCTTTACGTCACTAAAGAGAATGAAAAGAAAAAAACAAGAGTGTTGACGTGGCTTTAATTATGAAAGTTGAAGACTCATAATCACAGATCACACCCACACCCTTTCTCAAACATTATGCACAATACAATGAGTTTGAAATTTTGAAAAGTATCTAGATTTGTAGAAAATTATTTTTCCTCAGAAATTTGGCAATAGAAAACTAAAATATTTTCTTTTTCATAAGTTTCAAAGTTTCTTTTAGAAACTATAATGGAAACAAAAGATTTTAGTGTGAATTGTATCAGATCCCACACAATAGGTCCCAACTGACTAGTGCGTATTATTCGAAAGGTTGTGGATGTAGGTTCACGTTCGAATGCTGATTTCGATGACACCCAGATCTCACAACTATCAAAGTCACAAATTCCAATACGTAAGAGATTCTTTTTTTTTGAAGTCAAATGATTCACACAAGGATGACATGCAGAGCCTTTCTGTTGTTTTTGAAAAACACTTCAAATTTCATGAGACTTGAAAATCAATCTTTGTGAAGCATTTTAACGCTATCTTAAGAGAGGGTGTGGGTCTGCGTCTGGGGATGAATGAGTACAGTTTTAGAGAATAGTTATACCCACACCTACAGAGCCGTATCCCTCAAATGATAAGGGAAAATTACACTTTAGATCGAACATCTAACTAATACTAATTACAATCCTCAGGAGCTGATTGGCCAACGGTTGATATCAATGTGCTCAAGTCTTAAAATATTCTCTAAACTATTGAATGAGAGTGAGAATACAACAGATCTCATTACATTAAAATATAATTTTCTAGTAGACAATTTATTGAAAACAAAGCCTAAAATGTTCGTAGACTAAAATGAAATAAAAAAATAGTTGTATATCAATAAAAATAATAGATAAATTCAAATAAAAGCGCTTATCAGAAGATATATTTACTTAATTCTATTGATTTTTAATTTTTTTCTTACTTTCGATAAAAGTACACTAAATTCGTTTGATTTATTGTGATAATTGTACTGTCGGAAGAGCTAATTAAAAAAAGTGAGATGTGAATAAAATGCATTGATCAGTATAATTCATATGTTGTCAGATATCCACAATCTAATATCTGAATAATACTTTAAATTATATTTTTATAGAATTAAAGGTTAATAAAATTTAATATTTTATTCGTTTTGTTCATAATCTTTCTTAAATCAAAATCTACTGGTTTTTTTTTCAATCCTGAGGTAAGATATTTTTTCTAATCGAAAGTTACGAACTATAGAGAAAGATAATGAAATAAAAATTACAATATTCAAATGTTTATTTGTACACGAATATGAACTACTTGACAAGAGTATTTCTCTTCAGATCGTAGTATCTATGAGAGTGTGTGGCGGTAGAACTTCACAGAAGAGAGATATCCAAAATCTACACCCTAATAGTATTCAGATTCTTCGATCTCAATTTACTTGAAGAAAAGTTTTTAAAATATTATTATTTTTTCAAAAACTCTTTTCGTTGACTCAAGAAGTTCAATTCAACATGTCGAGAAACCGGCTTCAGATTTGAATTCTTCTGACAGTGACGACCACTGATCAAACTTCAAGTTTGCACTTTTCTAAAAACATGATTGTAACGATAAATAAAAGGTGGGAGGTTGATGTTATGACAAACTGGAGGAATACCTTATGGCCACCCTCGGTAATGATGTTTATTAACTACCTCACATCTCCAGAATGTGCCTCGTGCACATTCAACACACGCTTATATATAATACAGAAACAAAAAGAGAGAGAGAGAGACATGATACAGAGAGAACGATAGAAAGAGGAAAGAGGAAGAGCAGCGATCCGTGACGTATATACCGGCACAATGATTTCATGACATTAGACTGATTCAAACATTGAATCTCATTTTATTTCACATAAACTTCCCTACAATCGAGGAAATAAATCATGAAAATGAAGCTCTGTTTCTGTTCGTATTACAATAGTCATTTTATCATCATCTCCATTGATTAAAGCCATCGACCATATAGATTTTCCATTATAATAAGGCAGTTGAATACTTTGTATTAATTATCCGGTTGAATCATTAATTGAATGTATTTCATGTGAATCATGATTTGAATACACCAAAAATTGTCGATCAGGTAATGACAGAAGATTTGGATTACCACTTGCAAAGGATAGATGAAGATCGGTGATAATTTGAACAAGTTTCATATTATCCTTCCAATTATGTAATGCAAAGACGTAGTTGTTATTAGAAGTTTTTGAACTTATTAGCAAACCTAAATGTGTCCCAGTACTATTAAATCGAATTGCATGTATATCTTGATTCTTGTTACAGGAAACAGGCGGTTTATGTGTACGAATTAATTCCCAGCTAGATATATTGTATTCTTCCATAAATGAACCAATTTTGGGTTTTAAAAGTAATACTTCCTCAAAACACGTACAGCTGCTCATACCTCTACTGAGTTCATATCCAGTTAATCTACTCTTACCAACTATATCTAACAAACACACTGTATCATAGCATAAAATTATAAATTGATTTAAGTATGATGACCAGCATACATCTTTTATGTTTGAACAAAAATCAATAGTTACTTGTTTTTCACCATTTTCATTTAAAACCGAAATTCGATCCTGTTGAAAATAAAGTAAATGTTTGTCACTACCAGCCATATTGACTGAGCCTATAACACCTTTTATGCATACTCTTGGTTCATTGTTTACTTCACTTAAATCAAATACTGGTGTTATCACTGACGCATCTGTTGCCATTTGTATGATAAGTATAGCTTTGTATTTTATCTAGAATAATAATGAAAATGTTTTTAGTAAAATCGATATCTTTTTAAATGCTTTATACGATAGAAATTTTTAGTTTCTTTGACTTTCCATGACTCAATATCATTCAAAAAAGAAAAATGGGTTAGCTATGCTTCGACAGCTGAATAGTTAGAACATTGATTATATTAAAAAGTCTCGGTAATATGTTCGATTCTCAATTGAAACATATTTATTCATTCATCGAAAGTCAAAAGGAAGAAAAAATTGTATTTTGCATATACTCACATTTCTTATCTCTCTTTTGAATAATTATGCTTTAAAATATCACTTTTTATACTGTCTACATTATCTCGCCGGTTACCAACAACACATGTGTCATGAGTTACAGTATTTCATAAAGATAGCTAAATGACAAATCTTAGATGTTTCGGATAAAATCAAACATCAGTTTACAGAAATAAGCCATGTTGTGACTTTTTTAGGTAGTTAAGATTAAAAAGACGTACCTAATGAATCATTTTGTTGGTTTTAGATGATGATGAAACTCATGACAACTATAGACACTGTTCACAAGCAGTTGGTTAAGAACATTGTTACATGGAATTTTCAAATTTTCGTTATGATATCATGAGAAGCAAGGAAAAAGACCAACGCCATATTATCGACGAAGGTTGTCAAAAAGCTTATCAGCGCAGCTCCAAAGAAGCTAGAATGTGGAACTCACGTAAATCTTTGACACTTATTATCCTGATGTTTTATGTTTCAACTGGTAAGCAAATTTTTTGTTGAGTACTTATGAAATCCATGATATATATTATATATAATCTAAAGTTTTCTGTATGGTTGCTGAGGTCTGTAATGGTGACCTATCTCCAAAGGGGGTGGGGGTATGTCTGTAATGTTCTCTTTCTGTCTTGCTAAGTGTCTGTAAGGGGAGGGGGGGGGGGGTGTGGGTGGGGGT